TGGACATGAAGAAGCTGCTGCTGCCAAGTTAAGAACCTGCTGCTGTTGTTGGCGGCAGCAGCAGCAGGGGATGGGGGTAGCGAGCAGCTGGATGCAAAGCTAGCTGCAGCGGAGTGGAGTCTCTGTGGCCGCTCCACCCAGCTCTGTGGGGCCCCCCAAAGTGCGGGGCCCAGGGCAGTCACCCTGATTTGCCCCTCCTCCAGGACAGCTCTGTCTGTGGGTACAGGATTTGTGGGGTGTGTGATTGTGTATGGGGGAGGGTGGCTGTGGGGAGATGGAGGACAGCTGTGTGTGGGCTCCAAGTGGCTGCACCTGGAAGCACTGGCAGTGGGAGGGGGGGGCAGCCACTTTTCCCCCATGCTGAGCAGCAATTTGTCCCGTGCTGCCGCTGTTCAGTCCAGATAAGCGAGTGCAGGGCACGTGTGGTCAGGGCTCTGTGTACTGGTCCCTGCCTGTACCGTGGGACTGGGGCAGAGGGGACTGGGAGCGAGCGGGAATACAGTGACAGCCAGGTGGGAGTGCAGGGCCCATGCCAGTGTCCTGGGGCCAGTGCCGGCAGGGCCCAGATCAAGGAAGCAGGAGTGTGGGGTCCCGGTCGGCAGGGGCTCTGTGGAGTCAGGCCAGCTCTCCTCTCTCCTTTCTGGCACAGCCCAGCCCAGCTCCATAGACTCCTGCCAGCCTATGCCTCACATTCCTGCTGGCCTGTTCTGGGCCCTACCGGCACTGGCCCCAGGACATCAGCATGGGGCCATCGCTCCCACACACCTGCTCACTTTCACTTCCCCCCACCCCTGCCACCACTTTCTCTACTTTCCTGCACACCTGCCAGCCACTCTGCTTCATGTGGCTCCAAGCTGCATGGCCATGATGGCAGGACTCAGCAGGAGCTGGCCTGACCCTGAGGACTGGGATGATTGCCCATGGTCCTCTGCCCCCTGCCCCCCCGCCCCTTTTCTTCTTACCTGAATTTCTCACTCTGGCACAGGGAGGCACGAACAGCCCCCTGGTCCCAGGCCAGAAGCTTCTGCTAGACAGGGCTTCTGGCTGGGTGGGTGCGGGGCCTGTCAGGCCTTGCTGTTAAAGGGTCCTGCCGTGGCTTCCCCTGGGCCCTACTGCCCCTGGTTCCTATCATCTTTGACAGGCAGCCAGGGGCGGATAAATATTAATTTTCTAAATTTTGGGGGCTTCTGTGGGCCATATAGAATGGCCTGGCAGGCTGGATCTGGCCCGTGGACCATATTTTGCCCACCCCAGATTATTGTGTGATCACCCTTCATGGGAAAGTGGAGTCCTTAGTTCCTCTGGTATCTTCCAATTTAAAGATCTTTAAGTTCATGCAGAGAGCAGGGTACAAGCCTGACGCCACCTGCATGGATTCCCCCCCTTCAAGATAGAAATGTTTTCAGTCCTTAAATCTCCAGCTGTATGAACTCAAGCTGTCATTCAGCTGCCTCGGTACTGCAAAAAGGGACTGCCTAGGAAAATTGGGTTGGTGTTAGAGATTCAGCAAACAGCATTTCCCTTTAAACCAGGGCTGAATGAAGCTCCATCAAGGTACAAGGGGAGAGGTCTTTGGGGGAAAGTTTTAAACTAGTGTGCTGGCCAATGGGGGCCTCTAAAGTTTCACTTCAACATTTGTGTACCGATTGGGATGTACTTGTAGGATCCCAGCTTAGGCAACTGGCAGAATAGAATCTGATTTCTGTCTTGCAGTTTCAAATGGATATATCTTTCTGCCCTTTCTATACTAGGCCGTTCTGTAGTGTTTAAACAACTCCTATTTACCAGAGACAATTCCAGTTCAGTGCTAGGTGAAACAATCCCTGCCTGCACACAGTGCATAAAAGAGTATAGAAGTATATGATATTTTAAACCAGCCATTGATTTTTTTGAACAATAAAACTGCTTCTCTCTGCCACTCTCCTCACCCTCTGCACTTGGTGTCATGTCTATGAGCCAGCTCTAGCAAAAACTGCAAAGCAAGTGCTGGTGTGGAGAAATGAACAAATTACACAGAGGTGGGGGAATTTACCAAGTGAACACTGATCCTTGGCAACTGGTTTGTGTGTCCACTCTATCCCACAGTAAGAAGAGGCTAAGCTACAGTCGTTTAGCAGTTCTTTTATTTATAGGTTAGCTGTCCCACTTATCACTGTCACTTCTGCTTATCAGAGGATACAGTGGACACACAAATGGTTCACAGATCACCTGCTCTCACAACCTTTAATTCAGTGTTATGTAAGTTTAAAAAAATAGGACTGTTTAGTCTGGAGAAGCCAAGAGTTAGGGGATTTGATAACATTTTTAAAATACATAAAGAGGATGGAGATAGACTTTTGTCTGTGGCTCTAGGGCAGTGCTTCCCAAACTCTGACAGATTGCGCACCACCAATTTAAAATTATACAACCTTAAGTACCACCAGCAATTTTTTCAGTTCAACTTTAAGTACCACCAGCAAATTTTTCTCATATAAAGTAATTATAATAAATCTGTTAATGCTGTTAATACTGACAGGTTGTTTGTGTACCACTGGTGGTACCTGTACCACAGATTGGGAACCACTGCTCTAGGGGATGGGACTAGGAGCAGTGGCCTGAAACTGCAGCACAGGAAATTTAGTCTGGAGATTAGGAAGAAGTTTCTCACTGTGATGGCATTTTTAAGCATTGGGGCAGGCTCGCTAGAAAGACTGTGGGATCTACATCTCTGAAAATTTTCAAGAGCAAGTTGGACAGACACTTGACTGGGATGGTTTAATCAGGGATGATCCTGCCTTGAACAGGGGACTGAACTAGATGATTTTGTGAGGTCTCTTCCAGCCCTTTTTAGCTTTTCCTGTACTGTCTCTCTTGTGTCAGTGATGGGCTGTCTATCCTGGGTTAGGAAAGTTGCTTTCCACCAATAATTTGGCATAATCACCTCAGCCTCTTTAGCTCTATAGGTTCTTCAGGATTCATGGCTGCTGTTGGATCTGGGCCTTGGGTCAGCACACAGGGTTCTGGAGAATAGTGAAAGAGGGCTTTGACTGACATGTTTAATTCCTTCTCCTAGTGGCCCTGCTTGCCTGGCTGGTGAGGGGGAGTATGCAGCTGGCCTAGGCTTTATTCTCTTGGATGATGTGGGCTGCAAAGGCACAGAGCTGTCCCTCCTGGATTGTCCTCACAGCAACTGGGGGCAACATGACTGCTCACATGCTGAAGATGTAGGCATCCGCTGCTCTCCTGAGAACAAGATCTTTGATGGGACCTTGGGTAACTTAATCCATCTCTGCCTCTGACTGTGGAGGGTGGGGGCAGTAGCTTGAATTTCCATGCCTCGTTGGGGGCCCAAGCAGGAACCTGAGCTCTTCCTGCTCTCTGGGCTGTTGCACAAATAGTTTTGCTTCCAAGAAAAGCGGTTCTGTTGCCTCCTGGTTTGGGAAAGCACCTGCTAGGAAGAGTTCTAGTTGTCCTGTAGTTGGATCACTGAGCTGCTGTTTTCAAGTGCTCAACACAATGCACAACAAGAACGTTTTCTGCTGCTGCCCAGAGCATATGTCTATGAACACATGGTCAGCAATGCCACTGGTCAGTTCCCTCTTGGTGCCATACCCCACCCATGATTCCACTACATCCTCTCCTCCTGCACCATGTTGGGCTGGCTTCCCTTTCCCTTCATGCAGTTTGGTCCGTGACTCCAGTGTGTAAAAAGAAACTGCATCTGCCAAAATGAATCCTGGGGAGCTGTCAGCATGGGAGGGTGACCCTCCATCTGGAATCCCATTACCCAACAGTGGGATATTTAGGCCTTGTTTCCACAGGAACATTTATTTAGCTAAATCAGTTCATCACCCTTGCACCTGCCCACCTCTGGCCACTCCCACCCCCCACTCTGCCAGCTGCACCGCTGGAGTAGAGCCAAGTGGGATAGGGTGGGGATGGATGTGGGCTGCAGCCTTGGGGCTTCCCACCCTGCTCCCCTTTCCCTATACTGGCTGCATGCCCCCTGTTGGCCCAGCAGCAGTGGGGGGCAAAATTCCACACCACTGCTGCACCCAGTGCTACCAGAGGGGCAGGGGGGTGCCTTGCCATGGCAGCACAGGGCTCCCAGGAGGAGGACAGCAGGGCGGGGAACCCTGAGCCCATAGTGGGCAGCCTGCATCCACCCCATGCACAAATTGTGGGGGGGGCATCTGCTCCCCATGCTCTTCCCCTGCAGAGTGCACACAGCAGCAAGGAGCTTCCCCCTGTCCCATGCCCCACACCCCTGGACGAGCTGCCTGTGGCTCTGTCCCACTCCACACACTGTCCTGGCTCTGTCCATGCCCCTAGCCCCTGCCCCACTCCCTTCCTTCCTCACTGTGGGGGCCTTGATCTGCCCCACCATCTTCCCCGCCCTCCCCCACATAGACTTACCTGCAGGGAGTTGCTCTTCACTGCTGCCAAACTGTTTTCCCAGCCATGTGCATGTGCGCGGGTATGTATATGCATGTGGCACCCCCTGTGTCCCACTCCTAGCAGCCCCTTGCAGGCTGGAATGCTGCCAGCCTGCAAGGGAAAACCAGAGGTTTTCATTCCCTTCATGATGCTGCAAATCCAGGACAAATGCTGTCCTGGAATAATGCAGACCAGGACTGGGACTTAAGGTTTCCATTGCGGGACTGTCCCGCCCAGTTAGGGACAGGTTGTCTCCCTAGTCCACAAATGGCAGTTGCTTCTCTTTAATTGCATTGGTTTGTAGCTGAGCCTGGTGAAGTTGGTACAACTTCCTTGCTTAGACATGGCCTGATTCCCCACCACTTTCCCTGCAACAGGCACTTCCTAGCCTTCTAGCTGGGTTTTGCCATTTATGCAGAAGCAGCGTTCTGGTTTTTCCCAGGTTGTAGAGTTCTCTCTCCCCACTTACCTTATTATATTTCCAAGGTGTGTGTGAGCTTGCCTTTACTCGGCTTTGTACTTGTCATCTTTCCTTCCCCTTAGGGCCATTTGTTTATTTCCATCTTCATTCAGCTTCTGGAATGCGTAAGGGTTTTCACTGTGTATTGAGTTAACTATGATGCACCGTGTCCAGGAGCTAGCAGGGAGGAGGTGAAGGGAGGTGGGTAGGACATTGCTATATAAATAAAACTGTTGTTGTTTCCTACCTCTTTGTCAGCCCTGTGCCGTTTGGCCTTCTCACTCAACATATTTATCTTTGTGATGTTCACTGTGCCCATTCCCCTGCAGGGCCCCCTGTGCGGCTGGTGGACGGAGAGAGCACAAAGGAAGGGCGGGTAGAGGTGTTCCTGAATGGGCAGTGGGGCAGTGTCTGCGATGATGGCTGGACAGACAGGGATGCCACAGTGGTTTGTAGGCAGCTGGGATACAGGTAAGAGGTCAGCAGGTGTACCATAAAGGAACTCTAGGCAGGAGTCATTTCCTTTTGATTCATCCCTTCCAGGGAATAGATTTGTGTTCTTTTCCTTCTGTTTGAGCACTGCTGTGTATAAAGGAGAAAGTACTGCCCTATTCCCTTCTATCCTGGAGCCTTGCATCTGTGGAACTCTGGGACCACTGCAGGAATGGAGTAATTCATGTGGCTGGAGATAAAACATTGTCATAAGAATATTTTGCTGTACTGAGTTCCCATACTTTGTGTTCATAGTAGATTGGCCATCCCCTCTCATTTCAGTGGCACAGCAAAAGCCAGGACAATGGCATATTTTGGGGAAGGGCACGGACCCATCCACTTGGACAATGTGGAGTGCAGTGGCTCAGAGCGTGCTTTGGGGGAATGTACCAAGTCTGACAGTGGGATTCACAACTGCTGGCACAGTGAGGATGCCGGTGTGATCTGCAGCTACAGGGAAGAGAAGGCCCAGGACATCAGTAATGAAGGTGCAGTGTGTGTTTCTTCTGTCCCTTGCCCTGAAGAGCCTTTTCCTTGGGTTGCAGGGAGTTATAAGAACTCTGGTTTGTGCTCCATCACTCTTTCCCTAACACTTCCTTGTAGCTGAAGCTGGCCCTAGGCAGGTTGAGTTTCTCTGCAGCTAATAAGCCTCTTCCCATTGTCTTCAGTGCCTTCTCTTAGAAGTTTGGTTTGGAGCAACCATGTGGTCCCACCAAACAGCTCTCCTGCCCCTTGCCCTGTTATGCTTCTGAGCTGCCAGGAGCTCAAGCACCAGTGTTTCTCCCTTGTTCCTTAGCGTACCTGAGAGTGACTCAGAGGCAGTAATTATGAGCTCCTTTTGATCTGCAGAGAAGGTAGATTTTGGGTCCTGTCTCAGTTTTGGGATGAGAATCAAAGCAAGTGAAGCACTGTCAGTCATAATGAGGCATGTGTCATTCTCATCAGCCACAGAGGAACAAGTGCTGCATAATATGGCTTGAACAGAGCAGAGTATTTAATTGGGCCTGCCCACCTCCATCAAGATGAGGTCCCTCATGGGAGCACTGTATATTTTCTTGGCCTCACAGCAGTGAATGATGCCTGTCAGCTCCGCTGATGATGTCTACCTAATTGTTCTGGTTTTGCTATACAGATTCAGTGTCCAGCATGTGTGGGATGCGCTTGCTTCACCGTCGCAAAAAAAGGATCATAGGTGGAAACAAGTCCCTCAGGTATTGTCCTCTGACTGCTGGAAAAGGTACAGCCGGCATCAGCTGTCCTGCAAGCTCTGGGCAGAGGAAGCAGGTGCCAGGCCTGATCAGAATAGGATGTACCAGCCCTTTAGAGAACCCTATGGCCTCCCCACAAATATGGGCTTCAGTTCTTTCCTTATATCTTAGGGACATCCCCAGTGAGTTCTGCTTTTTCAGTGACATGCTGTATAATCAGTGTAGCTTTGACAGCCCTGGTACTGAACTCCTCTAGCTATCCACAGGATGGGGGCATCAACTGTGTAAATGTACTCCATATGGGTTACAATTTGTCGCCTTTCCATAAGCAATCATGGCCTCTCTGCTGATTCTGTTGGGGAAGACAGGCAGTGCCAGGTGTGAAGGTGTTTTCAGTGACTGAGATGAAACAAAACCACTGGATTGACTCACTTCATACAGGCCCATATACTTATAATGACTTTGGGTCTCTGCTGACCTGGCCCAGATTGTAACTGATGCCTGTCCCAGCCTGTAACAATATGGAGTGAGGGTTATGCAGAAGTTTAAGTTGCCATCAAGATCCTATTTAGTTGGAACAAATTACACAGAGCAAAGTAATAATCTTCCTGGTCCCCTGAGGAAGTATTTAGTACAGTGGTAGGCTGTTATCAAGGATGGGTCACTGTTATGCTAATTTCTCTTATAATCATAACTATGAGTAATTAATCCAAAGGGAAGGGTTACTAATAACATTTTTTTTCTAATGCTGAGCTGAACAAATAGGTAGATGGTTGCAAAACTATGAACGGAGTATAGAGATTCTTATGCAGGAATCAGAATATCAAAATATGCCCACCTGATAGTTGAATCTAAATCATCTGTTTAACTAGGCAGTGCCCAGCTTTGCTTTTCTCCAATAAATACAGCTCAGCGCACTGCCATCCACAGTCACACAATTGCCCATTTTTCTGTCCTGGGTCAGGGGTGGGGAAAAAATCTTACATCTTTCCCAAATACATCTGGTGCTGGCCCGCATTGGAAACTGGTCTGGTGTAGCCATCCCTTGTTCCTGTTTAAGTGCATCTACAGGAAGACTTGTAAAGTACCAGCAATGGCCTTTCTTTCCCAGCTTTGCTCTCCTGTGGTGCAGTTGTTCTACTAAACTTAAACCCCTGAGGACTCCAAGATGCTTTCTCTGAATGGATTCTGCATGTTCAGTCCTACCTTGTCTGTTTAAAGTAACAGTGAGGTCCAGGCTCTACCTGACTCTTAACTGCTACCCACAAAGCACTGGTGAGATGCTTGGAATTGCATTTATGGTTCCTTCTTCTTTGCATTACCTCATCTGTGTGTATGCCAAAGTACCCGAGGGAAAATGTGTCATAGTTTCATAGTTTGTAGGGTTGGAAGGGACCCAAGCAGATCATCAAGTCCGACCCTCTGCCATGGCAGGAAAGAGTACTGGGGTCAAATGACCCCGGCAAGGTGTCTATCTAGCCTCCCCTTAAAGACCCCCAGGTTAGGAGCGAGGACCATTTCCCTTGGAAGTTGGTACCAGATCCTAGCTGCCCTGTGAAGTAGTGCCTTCTGATATCCAGCCTGAATCTGCTCTCTGTCAGCTTATGCCCGTTGTTTCTTGTTACTCCTGGGGGAACAGGGACTCTCCCATTGCCTGCTGGTCTCCCTTGGTCAGTTTACAGACAGCCACCAGATCCCCTCTCAGCCTCCTCTTGTGGAGGCTGAACAGGTTCAGATCCCATAACCTATCCTCATAGGACCTGCCCTGTTGCCCCCTGATCATGTGAGTGGCCCTCCTCTGGACCCTCTCCATGTTGTCCACATCCCTCTTGAAGTGCAGCGCCCAGAACTGGATGCAGTACTCCAACTGCAGCCTGACCAAGGTCATACAGAGAGGGAGGATCACCTCCTTGGACCTGCTTGTGATGCATCTGTGGATGCATGACAAGGTGCAGTTGGCCTTCCTGACTGCATCCCCACACTGTCGGCCCATGTTCATCTTTGAGTCAATGATGACTCCAAGATCCTTATCTGCCTCTGCACTGACAAGAAGGGAGTTCCCCAGCCTGTAGATATGCTGCTGGTTCTTCCTCCCCAGGTGCAGCACCTTGCACTTGTCAGTGTTAAAACCTATCCTGTTCTCATCCGCCCACCTCTGTAACCTGTCCAGATCTGATTGCAGCTTGTCACTCCCCTCTAGCATGCCCACCTCCCCCCACATCTTAGTGTCATCTGCAAATTTGAACAAGGTGCTATTCACCTCCTCGTCCAAGTTGCTGATGAAGATGTTGAACAGTGCGGGCCTGAGGACTGAGCCCTGGAGGACCCCACTGCCCACATCCCTCCAGGTCAAAAATGACCCATCCACCACCACTCTCTGGGTGCAGCCCTCCAGCCAATTGGCGACCTATCTGACAGTGTAGGGATCGACACCACAGTCGCTTAATTTTTTAATGAGAATGGGGTGAGAGACAGTGTTGAAGGCTTTTCTAAAGTCCAGAAAAACTACATCCACCACGATGCCAGCGTCCAAGGATTTAGTGACCTGGTCATAGAAGGCCATCAGGTTGGTCTGACAGGACCTGCCTCTAATGAACCCATGTTGGTTGCCCCTAAGCATAACTCCCCTGCTTGCCCCTCGCAGATGTGCTCCTGGATAATTTTCTCGAAGAGTTTCCCCAGGATCGAGGTAAGACTAACTCGAGTTTCCTGGGTCCTCCCTCCTCCCTTTTTTGAAAACGGGAACCGCATTGGCCTTTTCCAGTCCTCTGGCACCTCACCAGAGCACCACGACTGCTCGTAAAGCTGTGCCAGGGGTCCCATAATGACCTCTGCTAATTCCCTCAGCTCTCTGGGGTGGAGATCACCAGGACCTGCTGATTTGGACGCATCCAGTCCCACCAGGAGGTCCCTGACTAGGTCCACTCTGACCCTGGGCCTGGCTGTACCTCCCCTGGGACCATCAGGGATCATGATGGGGGGGATGACCTGGTCCCTGCTCAGAAAAATGGAGGCAAAGAAGTTGTTAAGCAAGTTAGCTTTGACGTCTGGTGCGACCACCAGACTTCCTAGCGTGTCCTGCAGAGGCCCCACGTTACCCGGAACCTTCTTTTTACCCCCTATGTATTTAAAAAAAGGATTTCTTGTTATCCTTGATCTGGATAGCTAGTCCCAGTTCCATCTCCGCCTTGGCCTTCCTAACCGCCCCCCTACAGCCCCAAGCAACCGAGGTATAGTCCTCCCTGGTGGTGGCCCCTCCCTTCCATTGGGTGTACACCTCCTTTTAAGCCTTGAGATGTTCCTGGATGCTTTTTGTTAGCTATGGGGGCTTTTGAGCACTCTTGTTCCCTTTGACCCTTGTTGGGATTGCCACCCTTTTTCAGGTTGGAGGATTGTCTCCTTAAGGAACAAAGTGTCATCACCACTTCCCCCCATCGCCCAAAACACACACCTAGTTACCTGCCCTGTTCTATTCCAGGTTGATTGCTGGTTTCTTATTTCAGAGGCAAATGCAAGGAACCCAGGCTTCCTTTCTTGCCTTCCCCAGAGACATAGCTGGCAATATTGAGGGTCTCAGAAGAGACTGCTGGGGCCTGATTTTTGTTGTACTCCTTAAACCCTTTTCTGCATTACAGAGGTCTTTTAGCAGATGGCTATCTTAGGTAAGGATGTGAAAGGATCACATGCCGTGCTGTAGTTGGGCCAGCAGAAAATGGCCTCTGCCAGCCTTACCATTGCCATTCAGGGGAGTTGGTGTAACTCTAGTGTCAGAAAAACTTCTGCCAGCAGACCTGCATCTACACCTGGGAGTCTGTCTACCAACCTGCTGGCAGCAGCCCCCACAGTGAAGACATAGGGATAGTTAGGTTATCTCCAGTGGCAATTCCTGAAGTTGACCTTTGGGTGAAGGACTGCTTGGATGGAGAATGAGAGGGGAGAGGGGGCATATCAGGGAGACTGGAGAGGAAAGCACTGCCCCTTGTGTGCACATTTGTGTATGCCCCTAATGGCCTCTCTTTCTTCTTCAGGGGAGGTTGGCCATGGCAAGCATCGCTGAGGCTGAAGGGGTTTCACAGAGATGCACGTCTGCTGTGTGGAGCGACACTAATCAGCAGCTGCTGGGTGGTGACTGCAGCACACTGCTTCAAAAGGTTGGTGGTGGGGGTTGTGGGACCTCCAATGCTTATTAAGGAACATTCAACCACTTGCCCTCCCCAATGGTAACCCACCACGAGGATCTCTGAGAAAAAGGGGGCTTCTGTCCTCTGAACACCTGAAAGAGCCATTAGCTCTTGATAATCCCAGTAGTGTTGAGACAAGCTCTGACACAAGGGTTGCTGTTTATGATGCAGGATGTCTTTGGTGGCTGCATGGGGATAAGTGCATGTAACCCTGGCGGTGGTGCTACCCACAGCCACGTCCAACTTTTCAGGATCCTGGGGTGCCAATAGGTCTTGGTCAACTCCCACTCCATCTACAGGCTGGGAGCCACCACTCAGTGGAGTGCTCTCCTCTGGTTCTCCCCACACCAGACCATACACTAAATGACTGTTTACAATAATTTATTATTTACAATAGTAACTGAGAAATTAACAGATTCAACATCACGCAGGTAACAAACATTGTATTTTCAATGAGCTTGATAATACTCTATACCAGCAAATAGAAGCAAATACTTATCATATAGCAAAAGCAATTATGTTCTCAAATTTAGCACTCAGGCAACTTATAACAGGTATGTACACCTAATCAGCCAGATCCCCACAAAATCACTCTACCCAGAGCAAAGCAATCAACTGTGAGATGGTTGCAGTTGAGCATCTGTAGAGCTGTGCTCACTGCCTCAGAAAAGGTGTAGCAATGCTGTCATCTGGACGGAAGACGGAGTTGTCTGTCAGGACCTTGGGTGCAGCTGCTCCTGAGGCCGGGGATTCTTCCCTTTTCCAGTCTTTCCTTGCAAACAGTCACAGCTTCCCTAAGGCAGCTCCCTTGTGTTTGGCACCTGGAGTGCCCCTTCTTAGCTGTACTTTATTGAGCTCGCTGCTGGAGCTCCCACAAAGCCAAGATTCCCTGCTGCTTTCTTTAGGTCTCCCAGAGAACCTTCTCTGGCAACTAGTTTCCCTGATTCCCTCCCAGTGAATCCCTGCACCTAGGGAACTAAAGAGTGGGGAGAGGAACCGGTTTGCACAAACCCTGCTCCTTTTAGCAAAGGATACCAGGTGATCCTGGGTACTCAGTAGCTTATGGCTCCTCTGCCCTCAGTAGCAGCTCACTCAGCAACAATTCTTCTGCCAGTAGTCCTCTCAGAAGCAATTGTACTGGTAGCAGCTCCCTTCAGAAGCAGACCTTTTGCTGACAGCCCTTAGTTACTCTCTCTCCCAGACCTCCCTCCCCTGCCCTCCCCCTGCTTCTCGCCCAGGAGTTGCAGCTGTCCAATCCCCCATGCATGCATTTAGCAGCCTTCAGCCCCAAGCTTCAGCTGGTTACCTTGCTGCTATATCTGTGTGCACAGTCTGCTTCAAATCCACATCCTAATGGTGCAAACACCCTGATTGGGCTTGCAAGCCCTGAGCAAACCCTTCAGCATCTTTACATGCATAAGCCAATGTATCTTTGCTTTATCTCTCAGTGTCTGAAGTGTTACAGCTTTGAATGAGTATGCATTTTACTGTCCTGTCAATAGTTTGAGGAACAGCAAACTGAGGAGACTGAGCCTGAAATGGCTGTGAACAATGTATTACAGCTAATTCTATAGAGGGGAGCCGGGAAGCCCATTTGTATGTGCCAGTCAACAACTGTGTCTTTACCTGCTTAAACTGCCATTTTTCTTGTTTTTATTTTGGGGGGATTAAGAAGAGCTGGCTCTGACAGCCAAAGCCATTGCCTGGCACACCAGTGGGCACCACAGGAGTAATAAGATCTTTGCCAGTGCAGTGTCTCTCTACCCAGTAGCAAAGCACTTGTGTCCAGGCAATAGAAGTATGACTTCATTTTGGGTGGCTCCATGTCTCTTGGACAGGTTTGGCATTGATGTGCGCCGTTACTTGCTGCGAGTGGGTGATTACCACACTGGTGTGAAGGATGAGTTTGAGAGAGAGCTGCCTGTGGAGAGGATCGTCCTTCACAGGACCTACCAGTCCAGCAGCAATGACAATGACATTGCCCTGGTCAGGATGCGGGGCAGGGATGGCCACTGCGTATCCTTCAATCACCACGTTGTGCCTGTTTGCCTCCCTGACAGGAAGGAGAAGTCTGCCATTAACCGCCAGGTCTGCATCATTTCAGGATGGGGAGACACAGGTGAGTAAGGGGCTAGATGGTCACAAGCTTTGAGGGGCCAAAAATGCAAATGCTGGAATAATCCCAGGAGATGGGGTACTGGTGGAGAGGGAAGAGCCCAAAGAAGAGGATGGGCAGAGGAATAGACTGAATTCCATGGGGCTGAATTAAAACCTAAGTGTAGTATAGACAAGATGATGGGAGCAGCCCAGTCGTCACACACAGCACCTGGGATCAGTAGTCTGCACTGGTTCTGATTTATGTCTAGGTGCAAGTCAGGGCCACCTCCCTAACTGTCTTATTCTCTTCCTACCCTAAATGCACAGGGGAAGGGAAGCAGGGACAAAGATGCCTTTGCGCCATGGGGTGTTTCCTTTTTTCTGGTGCTCTCTCAGGGTCTGTGTGGTTCATGGTGCAAGTCAAAGCAAATGGAGTGTCCTTGGAGCTGTGGGGAGAGGAAAATGCTGCCAAATGTGGTCATCCCAGTGTGCCCACACAGCCAGTATTTAGATGGAAGGCCAGGTACAAGGCTTGTACTTATAACAGGCTGGTAGACCCCTATGTTACTCCTGTGTGCATTTCCACAGCTTCCTCCCTCTTTAGGCTACTGGAGTGATAGAAATGGTTGATGGAAATAAAGAATCAATCCCAGAGTGTTTTATTCATAAAGTCCCTCGCTCCTGGGTGAATACTCAAGACACCATCTTTCTCCCTATGCACTAGATAGCTTTTCACACAAGCTGGGTCACTCTTGCCAGCACCCAGGGCAGACTTTAGCCTGGAGCTGGCAACAGGGTATTCTTAATAGGATTCAGATGTGTGCTTCATCTGTCTGGTGCAGCCCAGTGCTACGTGATGTTGCTGTCAGGCTTCCTCTGTGCTGTATGATGTGTAAATGCACCCCAAGGTCATTGTAGAACTTAAGTCCTTTGAGAAGTTTAGGAGATGGTGTCAAGCCCTGTGACCAACTGTCCTGTCTTCCCCAGCTGTAGTGCAGGGCCTGGCTGGGGGAAACTTAGCTGAGACTGCTCTTGCTGGAGCTGATCTGTGCAGACATGCTGTCAAAGGCAAATACACCCAGCAGTCTGTCTGTTGGTTTTGGAGCCTCTTTTCCTTCCCACATGTCTCTCTGGCTGTTGCCCAAATGTTTAACTGCAAGTATACATTTGCCTTTGGAGCCAGTGGTCCCAGGGGCAAGTATGGAGGGTGGTGAATGATTTAGCTACTAAACTTCCACTGGATTTAATGGGATTTGTGGAAAGAACTCCTCCTTCCTTTGAAGAGAAGCAGTCCTATTGAGAGATCATCTCTGGAGGACGTTTCACTCTGCAGCACCTTATCTATCTTGGCATTCAACAGCTGCAGTGAGGTAACTGGCCTTTTCCCCTCCAGAGTCCCTTGTGCTCAGCTAAAAGGAGCCTGCACAGGAGAAAAAAAATCAAAGTGCTGCTTGATGGCATCTTTCTGGTATATATTGTAAAGAAGGCTTGAAATGAATGTTTCTTTCTGTACATTTCTTCAGTAGGAAGGAGCTCCTAAAAAGTGGGGGCGGTGTCTTTTCTTCCATGGACTGTGTCTAAGATTAAGTTATTAGAAGGAAAAGAGATTATTAGACTGTTTAGAGCTTTGTTTTCATTACCATAATACCTGTGTAGTTCAGCGTGTTGGAGAGAAAAGCCCTTTCTGTGAAAGATTGTACAGAAACCCTGTTTCAACTGACAGAGCTCTCTAGCAAAAACATGGGCAATAAAGAATAGGTCTTCCTG